AGTTTATGTTTCTTGATCCTTAAACTAAAAGTAAATACACTTTCTTGATGAAACTACAGTTTATGTTTCTTGATTTTAAACTATAAGTAAGTACACTTTCTTGATGAAACTACAGTTTCTGTTTCTTGATCTTAAACTATAAGTAAGTACACTTTCTTGATGAAACTACAGTTTATGTTTCTTGATCTTAAACTATAAGTAAGTACACTTTCCTGATGAGACTACAGTTTCTGTTTCTTATCTTTGATCTTAAACTAAAAGTAAGTACACTTTCCTGATGAAACTACAGTTTATGTTTCTTGATCTTAAACTATAAGTAAGTACACTTTCCTGATGAAACTACAGTTTATGTTTCTTGATCTTAAACTAAAAGTAAGTACACTTTCCTGATGAGACTACAGTTTATGTTTCTTGATCTTAAACTAAAAGATCGTTTTTATACTAGACTAAGACACGTAACATTAGTTTTATATGAAATCATTTTATTCAAATGCTATTTAAATATTTAATTGGAAAAAGTGTGATTCACTTAAGATAGAACTTTTCTCCGTAAAACATAGGTCTAGTAGTTTCACATGTTGCTTTAAAACGATTTTTTCCCTTAGTTTGACTAAAACAGTACAATACTTTGTTTAACCTATAAGACCTAAACATTCATAACTGTAAATAGCATCTAACTTTTCTACTATGTTACTCTTACAGAGCTTTTAGCGATAATTCCCAAGCAATTAATGCCTACTTGGACAACTTCAAAATTCGACGGATTCAGGAAGTTTCTGTGCAAGAGAAAATTAGCCAAATGGGAACAACAGAAATAGCTATCATAGCTCTTAGTAGCGTGATTTTCCTTGGGCGCCGTCCTGGGAATAGCCCTTCTGTGCTCTTCCTGTCGGAAACGGTGAGTTACATTTCACTGTCTAGCAACTCACACCACTCATTCTATCTGTTGACTTATTATGGTATCACGTGTGTTGTAATAAGTAAATAATCCACATCCTTGTGATTTAATGATTTTTTTAAAATCGCAGTACAAAACCAAAGAATATTTACATATTTCAATTATTGTTGAAAAAACCAGTTAATTGTTAAACTTTGCAACATATATCTAGTGAAGATAATATAAAAAAGTAACTTAACAAGCCCTTCATGGCCGTACGTAACCATTCAAACCACAAAGACTGCCTCAGTTAAATTAATAGTTCTAAACAAATCTAAAGGAAGCACTTGGGAAAAACTTGTGTATTAGTTTTTAAAAATAAAATTAAGACATAGTTCTTTTATAAAGATAAGACACGGGAATCTGTCTGGTTTTGAGTGTGATAACCGTGGTCTTATATTGTCTCTATGTGCTTTACTAATGTTCTAATCTGTGTCGACTGTGATAATTATGGGCTGAGTGTTATTTCGCAAGACGCGAGAAGAAAAACTTGGAGAAATTTTATTAAAGAATAAATTGAGTCGTCTAAATGAAAACGTTTCCAGTTTATTTTTTGCGACGTTTCGAGCAGACGCCCTTTGTTAGGCGCTAAAGACCGTGTTACAATGGATTTAGGCTAGACATAATCGTTAAAATATCAAATGATACAAAGGTTCTAATTACACACGTTCAACGTGACAACAATACTGATAAAAACAATGTTGAACTTATCACTTAAACTAGCTAGACGGAAGTTATGTAAATTCATGATTAGTGAAAGGTTATCTTAGGACATGAAACGTTATTTCCCTTATATATAATTTAACAAAAAAAAGCCGCAAAAAAACGCCCATAAAAGTTGCAAAACATAAAAATTTGAAACCGCAAATTTGCATGTATCTCCGCATGGACCCAACAAACCTTTATGCCAAATTTGGTGAATATCCATCCACAGGAGATGAGGTAGTGGTGCAAAAAGCAAAACTGAAAATGTTTATGTACCCCCGCATGGACATAATGAACCTCCATGCCAATTTTGGTGAAGATCCATCCACACACAGTACTATTATATTCATATAGATATTATTGAAATCAACAAGAATATGGAAAAAAATTAGAACAACCAAAACTGGATTTAGAAATAATACACATAAATACGCCAAATAATAAAATAATAGGCTGTTTTCGAGATAATGGATGTGCTGGGCCAAGGGATCATCGAACCGGCACCTTGGGACATGTTATTTGCAGATGACATAGTCCTTATAGATACCACCAGGGAGGTAGTAGAGCAGAAATTATA